ACTCTCTATTTAGTTATGTCTAAATATATGCCTTTTGTTTATGTTTTGAAATATATAAATATCTTCACTCTTCCGTCCAAAGTGAAGGATTATATAAAACATGGACAGCGACACTGTATTATGTTCCATCTGTCACATTAATCCAATCAAATACAAAGGCAAAATACATACATTTTCAAATTTTTATTTTTGATCCCTATAATTTATAGGTTCGAATATACTGTCATCCTGTTCTGTTCTGATCGGGTTATCACCTCCATACCTTCATAAGTCTGTATTTAATAGTGTTGCGTAGCAAAGTCTCTTCAAAGTTGCTAATTTCCAATTTTTTGCAATTTTACTAATGAGATGCAATTTTTCGTAGTTTTTTGACCATTAAATTCAAATTCCTTCTAACACCATTTATTTTGACGACTTAAAAGGATGATGCTCTGCTTTCCGACGGGGCGATATACCTTTCCAACATCTTTATTCTCGAAAACTCAGTTTTGGGGATGGGAAGTCATGTTTAAGTCACCCAAGTTAGAATAAATAGTTAATTAGAGAGTGTTACAAATTGGTTGCAATTTTTCGTTCCATTCGCACGACCATCTCTAAAACTTAACAATTTCCACATAGAACTTCCCCATCTCGTCTTACTTCAACCCCAATACAACCGTGGCCAATGCCTTCAAAAAACTATCAGATTCCGACAGGAATCCCACTGCCACATTATATTTCGGCAATATCGACCCCCAAGTCACCGAATTGTTAATGTATGAATTATTCATCCAATTTGGGACCAGTAAGATCAATCAATATGCCCAAAGATCGAATATTAAAAACACTTCAAGGGTATGGATTTGTGGAGTTTAGGAGTTCCTCAAAAGGTAACTAAACCTCAAAATCAACGAAAAAGCGGATAATAATCCAACCGTGGATTCCGTGTTCATTCTTTCATTATCAATTTGATCCCAAATCAGTCAATGGACTTCGATTGGTAAGCTATTTACTCATGGAAAGATTGTATGTGAAAACTCGAAATAACAGCGTATGATGCCCGAAAAAGTACGCCAATGCCTTCAAAAAACTATCAGATTCCGACAGGAATCCCACTGCCACATTATATTTCGGCAATATCGACCCCCAAGTCACCGAATTGTTAATGTATGAATTATTCATCCAATTTGGGACCAGTAAGATCAATCAATATGCCCAAAGATCGAATATTAAAAACACTTCAAGGGTATGGATTTGTGGAGTTTAGGAGTTCCTCAAAAGGTAACTAAACCTCAAAATCAACGAAAAAGCGGATAATAATCCAACCGTGGATTCCGTGTTCATTCTTTCATTATCAATTTGATCCCAAATCAGTCAATGGACTTCGATTGGTAAGCTATTTA